ATATATATATATATATATATATATATATATATATTTAAAAAAATCACCTTAACCGGGTGAAATTGCCCGTTTTGCTATTCTTACATGACTATACAAATAAATTCTTCTGCAGAATTTAAAAATCTAACTACATGGACAACAAAAGTCTTGAATATTCTGGTCTAGATCATGAGGTTTTAATATGATATTAATTTTTTAACTTGTTTTTGTATGCTAGTTACATTTTTTTAAGCTTTTTTTTTCATACTTTGAACCGTACTTAGAACTATTTTGGTAAAAGGTTTAATGTTTTCAAATAGTTTTGAAACATTGTCTTTTTACATCAAGATTGCCCAATGACCAATCTCTTTGAGCTTTTAACAAGTTAATCCAATAAGGAAAATGGTTCATTCAACGACCAACAATTTTTTTTTATCAAAATAGCTCACCCAATGAAACTTCGCCCACCCAACAATTAATTCTCTCAAATTTTCAATTAAATGAATTTTTTTCAATGAGGAATTGACTTGTTCAACAACCAAACCATTAGAAGTTTTATTTAAAAACTCATGTAGGGAGTTTTGACTCACTCAATTAACATCTTCTCAAATGTTATATTAATTGTGTTAGAAATCTTATTAGAAGTTCTACATCGACTAGAGAAATAAGGTCAATTTATAATATATATATATATATATATATATAAAAGTGGGTGCAAACCTCCATTTGCAAGACGATTTTGTGAGGTTGAGTTAAGCTTAAAGTCCACTTCTTATCATGATATTAGGGTATATCCTAGCAATATTTGTTATTTGTTGGACATGTTGTTCCATCCGTTATCGGACCACCCATTAATGTCTAGTCTCACGCTCGAGATGTAGTCTATACCTCGGCATGAGGGGTGTGTGTTGGAAGTCCCACATCGACTAGAGAAAGATAAAACCAATTTATAATATATAAATGAGTGTGGAGCTGAGTTAGGTTTAAAGTCCACTTCTAACAAATTGAATCTGCATAATTAAAATACTCACCAAGACATTTCAATGGGACAAATTTGTTCAAAGTGAGTTTTTCTCGTATTTTTTATGTCTAATCTATATATTTAGTTCTATAGTATCAAACTAAACTAATTTGACCTAATTTAAATATATTTAATTTCACTACTCAACATACCATGATACAATCAATCATACATAATTCAATTAAACACATCTAAACCTAAATAAAATTAACATATGGTGACCACATCAATCCCACATTTAATTCATCTACCCTAAGAACTACTAGAAACATAAATAACTTCCTTTACCAAATTCAATTAAACACATCTAACCTAAATAAAATTAACATATAGTGACCACATCAATCCCACACTCAATTCATCTACCCTAAGAACTACTAGAAACATAAATAGCTTCCTTTACCTTGTAAGACTTGTTGGAAGTCTCACATCGACTAGAGATAAAATCAATTTATAATATATAAGTGGATGCAAAACTCTAAAAAACTGACTTGTAAAGTAATGTTTGTACTCACTTATATACTATATATAAATTGACCTTATCTTTAATTGATGTATGACTTCTAACAATATGAGATTTCTAGTTGTCTCAAACTTAAGTTCCTAAAAATCATTACCCTAAAATAAAAAAGCGGTAGAGATATAAGAGAAAGAGTTTAATATTTTTCCTAGAAAAAACATATGCTAAGATTCCATTATCCTACATGCATCCAAAAATTCTCTAAACTAATTCAAGAAAAAATACAAAGAAAAACTTCCTTAGAAAGAATTTCTAATTAGACGGAATTGCTTTATTTTACACTCAAATCCTTATAATGAACTTTAATCTTTAAAAGCATTAACAAATTTCTCAAAATTCTAAAAAAAATGCCAAATTAAAGGTTTTTTTATAAAAAATGATAACCTTTTTCTCAAATAAAATTTAAGTAGTTAAATTTGTTTTTTTTAAAAATTTATCATTTAATAATACAATATTCATATTTCATCTCACTTATACCACTTTTTCTGTTAAATTATTTTATAAGTATTTGAATACAAACTAAAGGAAATAATTCTCCTTTAAGCTGACGAATACTTCGGATTAAAAAAGATAAAAATTGTTTATATAATTTCACTAATGATGCGAGAAAGAAAACAACGGAGTGAAAGAGTAATTAGGTGACGAAAATTAAAATAAACAGTGAGATATTTAGAATGTCAGGAAAAATGGTGAATTAAGAAAAAAATGTAAGGTTGGTTTGTTAACTTTTTTTTTTTTTAATTTTTCAGTGAAAAAAAAATCCACCGTCTCAGACAAGCGGAACAAATAATAATATTTGAGGGACTAAATATATAATGTACTTTTAAAATTTATTTTCTAGCCCAAAACTTTTTGACCTTTGGAAATTGTACCCATTGAGTGCCCCAGTTGAGGGGTTGGCACTGTGAATCACCGTTAGCCCTCGCTTCTCCTTTTGACGATTCCTCGTGATCTCTCTCTCTCTCTCTCTCTCTCTCACGATCTTAAAGGTTCAAACTTTACTTCATCTGCCACAACAAGCTCTATTCTTTTTTCTCTCTGTTCATGTTACGCTCTTCCCTTTTTGTTTCTTTGAAATCTTTTATACTTTTTTCAGTTCACTTAACCATTTCCTTTTAATGGGTTTCTGGAAATTTCTTGAATGTATAATTGTCCTCTGGATTTTGGGAACACTTTGGCGGAGATTGGTGTCAGTTAGTTATCTTTGCTATGAGGGTAATTGGTTTTTTTCTTTTCAATTGTTGTTATGATCAATTATGCATCACTTTGGTTGTTGTAGAGTAATTGCCACCTCCATGTCAAGAAGCAAGGGCCAATTTATGATTTAGATGTTAAAATTGTGAGTGTGTGTGTAGGGGTTGAACTAGACATCAGAGATTAAAAGTGGAGGATATGTTCTTTCATGCATTTGCAGTGAAAGAAAAATCTGTGTAGCTGAGATATTGAAATAGCTGGCCTCTTTCTGTCCCATAAGGAAAGTGAAAAAAGAAATGGAATATATTAAGTGAATTGAAATTACATTGGATCAGAGAGATTGCAAGATATTTCTCCATTTGTCATTGTTGAAGTTTAGGTTGAGAATGATTAAGTTGCTCATTTTTTTTTTCTTGTTTATTATGTTGAACAGGAGATCAGTGTTAGAGATTCCACATTAATCATATACACAAATTAATGTAGTGGAGGTTAACACTCACTTGCGAACCCTTTTTGAAAGGATAAGTTATACTTAAATTTAAATTCTAAGATGATATGAGAGTTTGTCAAAGCAATTGTTGTTGAGTCTATCAGACCACCTCTTAACAGATAATCTATACTTGTCCCGTCCTACAAGCATTATATTCCGAATGTTCATAAAAGGGGGATATTTAAAATTCAATATCAAGTAGTAATATTGTCAAATTAAAATATATAAGAGCCAACCTTTTGCTTAAAAGTTCATCTTGTAGAATTGAGTTAGATCCAAACTAAAATTATATGATTCAGGAGAATTTCAAGACATGTGGATTTTAAGTTTTTGAATGAATATTTATGTGAAACTGAAAATTGATAGGTCATTCTACCTCTGAATAATGAAAGGGGAAAAAGATAATACAGAGACCTTGGCTGAAATTGAGACAAAGGGTGTAGAATGTATATGATAAACATGTTACAGGGTTATGGTTAAACTGTATTTTGTAGTCAGTGTTGAATTAAATCCTCCACCACCTTTTGTGTGTGTAGACACTTAGAATGATGATGAAAGTTTATGACTATCTTATTGTAAATTTGGATACAAATTGTCAATCACTTGACACTCTAATTACTTGGAGTAATCCTTGTTTCGGTTTTTTATCCTCATTGATTATACCCACGTAATACATTCAATATGATTCCTGAAGTCACAACGTTTTCTTTTAACCGGTTGAATTTTCTTATTTCCATCATGAATATTATTTTCGGAGAGTCTGCTGGTTGAACTTTACACTATGAAATTTTTATCACTCTGTTTCATGACCAAACCATGCCTTCTTAAGCATGTACAATGTCTTGCTGTCTTTAAAGGTTTTTTAATGATGTTGATAGGACTCCTAATAAGGATGGGCCTGTTAATCAACATGAAACAATTATAGAGGGAGCAAGGCCCAAAATATGGAAGGTTTACGTGAGAAGAAAGAAAATGGGGTTAGGAAAAGAAAGGGAAGTTAGTTAGATAGGGGAATGACGTGTCAGGAATCCAGGGAAGGGGAATTCTGTTATAGGAGAGAGAATAGAGAGTGTGAAGGGGGACGGAGGGCAGGTGGTGAGTTGGTTAGGAGGAGAGTCATCCTCTGGTTAGGAGTGAGAGCACTCTGGGTTTTACTGGTGATTGTAGAGCTTTCAGCTCCATAACTTTTCTTCTGCATAATACTTGAATAATATACCTGTGATATTCAGTTTAATTGTTGGGTTTCTATCATTGGTCCGACCTGCCGGATCCCCGAGAAGAGCTATCATTGTTGTCCATGCCACCCAAAATGTCTGACCGAGTCGACGCATTGGAGGAAAGATTGTTAGCGATGGAAGTGTCTGTACGTGAGACGTTGGGGGAATTTCGCCAACTAATGTTGGAAGAGTTGACTAAGCTGCGTAACGAGCAAGCGGGAGAGCGTCGAGAATCTCCGTTTTCAGATATGGATTCAGGGGCAGAGTACAGGATGGCAGCAAAGAAGGTGGAATTGCCATCATTTGATGGTACTGACCCTGTGGGATGGATTACCAGGGCAGAGACATATTTTGAAGTGCACGGCTCTACAGAAGAGGTGAAGGTCCGATTGGCAAAACTAAGCATGGAAGGGGCAACCATTCATTGGTTTAATCTTCTACAAGAAGCAGAAATGGGGTTGTCGTGGGCAAAGTTAAAAAGAGAGTTGATCGGTCGTTATGGTGGTCGTACTAGCGGTAATCCTTTCGAAGAGTTGAAAGATTTGTCGCAGACGGGCAGCGTAGATGAGTATCTAGCGGAGTTCGAATATATCTCCTCTCAAGTTTCTCGTTTACCAGAGGAGCAATATCTGGGTTACTTTATTGGAGGGTTGCGACCGGAGATTCGGCGGAGGGTTCGCACCTTCAACCCGATGAATCGTCTCCAAGCCATGCGCCTAGCTCGAGACGTGGAAGCAGAAGTGCAGGGAGAGGGATTTCAGCGTGGAGGAGGATTACGAGGGTGGAAAAGCAATCGTGATTGGGGTACGGGTCAGGGAGAGAAGTCTGGATCCGGGTCGGGTCAAGGCCCACATTTAGGGAAATTAGGCGTTGGGTTAGGCCCAACCCAGAGCATATCAAATAAACCATTATCGGCAGCGGGCTCCAGCCTTCATGAGTCACGTTCGACGACGCAAGGCAGTCGCGTTTCAGGTGATCGTTTTCCGACCGCCGACCGAAATCGCGGTACGAAACATTTGCCGTATGCGGAATTGATGAACAGGAAAGCTCAAGGGCTTTGTTTTCGATGCGGTGAAAAGTATCACCCCTTGCATCGATGCACAGAGCGGCAACTGCGAATGGTGGTGTTAGCGGATGACGAAACAGTAAATGAAGCGGGGGAGGTGATCACGAGTGAGACGCAAGAGGAGGAAGATGACCATAACTTGGAGTGTGGGTCTATGGGGCTGTTCGCAGAAGTTGAAGTACCATGGGGTGGTCGGAATAACCCTACAACTTTGCGCATAGAGGGTCTTCTCAATGGATTAACCTTGGGAGTGCTGATTGATAGTGGGGCCAGTCATAATTTCATTTCTCCCCTTGTAGTGGCTGCTCTGGAGTTGAAAGTGGACAAAAGAAAACAGATTGGTGTACGTTTGGGAGATGGACATAGGGTGTCTACAGCGGGGAAATGTGAGAAGTTGGACATCCAATTAGGAGAATTCTCTACTACGGTAGAGCCATATGTGTTGGAATTGGGGGACGTGGATATGATTTTGGGAGTTTCCTGGTTGCGAAGGTTTGGAAAGGTTACTTTTGATTGGGAAGAGATGACGCTAAGTTTTTTTTGGCAGGACAAATATCTGGAGTTACAAGGTCAGAAACTGAGAAAACACGGACAACATATAGCGTTGATGACATCTTTCTAGAGTGTGGTGAAGGAGAATAGTTTGGGAGAAAAGTCCATTTCGAAGCAAAGCTTATCAAAGACACAAGTTGAAGATATTCAACAGATTTTAGTGGGTTATGCGACTGTATTCCAAGAGCCACAGGGGCTGCCCCCTTATAGAAATGTGGTGCATGTTATTACATTGCAGCCAGAAGCAAAAGTCGTGAGTGTGCGACCATATCGGTATCCACATCACCATAAAGAGGAGATTGAAAAACAGGTTGGAGAGATGTTGAAACAAGGAATTATCAGACCCAGTTCTAGCGCTTTTTCCAGCCCGGTAATTCTTGTTAAGAAGAAAGACGGTTCATGGCGCATGTGCGTGGATTATAGGGAGCTGAATAAAGTCACAATTCCCGACAAATACCCAATTCCAGTGGTAGAGGAGTTATTGGATGAGTTATATGGTGCTACTTATTTTTCTAAACTAGACTTGAAATCTGGGTATCATCAAATACGTATGGCGGAGGAAGATGTTCATAAAACAGCTTTCAGGACACATGAGGGTCACTATGAATTTTTAGTGATGCCCTTTGGTTTGACAAATGCCCCTGCGACTTTCCAGTCTACTATGAATCAAATTTTTAAGCCCTATTTGAGGAAGTTTGTACTAGTATTCTTTGACGATATACTAGTTTACAGGGATGAACATTTGAAGCACTTAATGAGAGTCTTTGAGCTGCTATGTGAACAATCTTTCAGGGTCAATAGAAAAAAGTGTGTTTTGGGGAGTCGGCAAGTAGAATACTTAAGTCATCTAATTTCTGAGCAAGGAGTTGCAGTAGACCCAGAAAAAATTAAAAGTGTGATAAATTGGCCCATACCTCATAATGTCAAAGGTGTGAGGGGTTTTTTGGGATTAACAAGGTATTATCGAAAATTTATTGCGGGTTATGGTAAGATTGCTCGGCCCCTTACTGAATTGACGAAGAAGGATGGTTTCCATTGGGGTCCAAATGCATTCTTGGCCTTTGAGCAATTAAAAAAGGTGATGACTCAAGCTCCCCTATTGGCTTTACCTAACTTTTCTAAACCGTTTAAAATTGAGTGTGACGCTTCAGGGGTAGGGATAGGAGCAGTATTGACGCAAGACCGACAACCGATAGCTTATTTTAGTAAAGCTTTGGCACCGACTAATGTTAACAAGTCAGCCTATGAGAAAGAATTAATGGCATTAGTGTTGGCGGTCCAACATTGGCGACCATACTTGATTGGAAGGAGTTTTAAGGTGTACTCAGATCAGAAGAGTTTAAGACACCTCTTACATCAAAAAATCACCATCGAAGCTCAACAAAATTGGCTGGCAAAGTTGTTGGGATATCAGTTTGAGGTGATTTACAAACCGGGCCCAGAGAATAAAGCTGCTGACTCACTATCAAGAATGTTCGAAGCGGGTGAATTAAGGGAGATTCAGTCTTTTCCATTGTGGTTGCAGGAACAGCATATCCAAGAGGAAGTGGAAGTAGATCCTTTCTTACAGCAAGTGGTGCAGAAGTTACAACAGGAAGATGCATCTGTTGCAGATTTCAGTTTGTAAAGAGGAGTATTATTTTACAAAGGACGCTTGGTATTGTCAGCTAAGTCAAATTTAATTCCTACTATCTTAAATGAGTTTCATTCTTCACCAGTAGGGGGTCACTCGGGTTTTTTAAGAACCTAACCTACAAACGTATCGCAGCAAATCTGTACTGGACAGGAATGAAGAAGATGATTCAAGAGTTTGTTAAAGCATGTGATGTGTGCCAACGACATAAATATGAAGCAACGTCTCCAGCTGGATTACTACAACGACCCCTGCCTATTCCAGATAGGATTTGGGAAGATATTTCCCTAGACTTCATTATGGGCTTACCAAAATCTAAGGGGTTTCAAGCTATATTTGTAGTGGTGGATCGATTGTCTAAATATGGCCACTTTATTTTATTGAAACATCCTTATACTGCCAGGAAGATTGCTGAACTATTTGCTAAGGAGATTGTACGACTTCACGGCCTTCCGCAATCGATTGTTAGTGATCGAGACCCTGTGTTCATGAGTCTTTTTTGGCAGGAATTATTTCGATTACAGGGAACAACTTTAAAAATGAGTTCTTATCATCCTGAGACCGATGGTCAAACGGAAGTGGTAAATCGATGTTTAGAAGCTTATTTACGATGTTTTGTGTCGGAACAGCCCAAGAACTGGTCATATTGGGTACCTTGGGCAGAATTATGGTATAATACTACTTTTCATGGAGCAACAGGAAAGACCCCTTTTTTAAATTGTGTATGGGAGAACACCACCTGCTTTAGTGCGTTTTACACAGGGCGAAACACGTGTGGAAGCTGTAGCCGCTGACTTGGTTGATAGAGATGAAGCTATTCGACAATTGAAATATCATCTGCTGCGAGCCCAACAGCAAATGAAGAAATTTGCAGACAAAAAGCGGAGATTCATGCAGTTCGAGGTCGGAGAGTGGGTGTTTATTAAATTGCGTCCCCATAGACAAGTAACCATAGCTCGACGTATTAATCAGAAGCTGGCACCTCGGTATTATGGGCCTTTCTTAGTGGTGGAGAAGAAGGGAGAAGTGTCTTATAAGGTGCAGTTGCCGCAATCAGCAAAAGTACACCCGGTTTTTCATGTTTCTCAATTAAAAAAGGCTAATGGTAATCATGCGGTAGAACCCACTTTACCAACAGAGTTGAGTCTTGAGGAGGAAGATCAAGAAGAACCTGAGACAGTGTTAGCAACCAGGGAGATTCCTGAGGGTGGTACTATTACTAAACAATGGTTGGTTAAATGGAAGGGGAGAACAGAGGAGGAGGCAACTTGGGAAGATGAGGGACTATTGCGAAGTCAATTTCCTTGTTTTAGCCTTGAGGACAAGGCTGTTGTTGCAGGAGGGAGTAATGATAGGACTCCTAATAAGGATGGGCCTGTTAATCAACATGAAACAATTATAGAGGGAGCAAGGCCCAAAATATGGAAGGTTTACGTGAGAAGAAAGAAAATGGGGTTAGGAAAAGAAAGGGAAGTTAGTTAGAGAGGGGAATGATGTGTCAGGAATCCAGGGAAGGGGTATTCTGTTATAGGAGAGAGAATAGAGAGTGTGAAGGGGATACGGAGTAGGGGGTGGTGAGTTGGTTAGGAGGAGAGTCATCCTCTGGTTAGGAGTGAGAGCACTCTGGGTTTTACTGGTGATTGTAGAGCTTTCAGCTCCATAACTTTTCTTTTGCATAATACTTGAATAATATACCTATGATATTCAATTTAATTGTTGGGTTTCAATCAGATGTCTTGACATATTTTGAAAGATCAAAATAAAATTAACTATTAACAATAGGTTCCAGTCACGCAGATGTAATATTGTTTCCTTTTGTTATTATTTTGGTTCTTTAGTTCTTGTCTTATTCATTTTATACTTCCTCAAAGTTTTTGTAGTCCTTTGACTTTCACCAGTAATTGGTGTAAATTAGGATCGAAAAGCCTTGTTCAAGACTCATGTCTGTTCCTAAGGAGGAAGACTTGCCGCCACATTCCCAGGTGTGCTCTTCAATTCTGATTAAATGTGCTTTATGGTTGCAGCAATAATTAAATAATAGATTTTGATTCAAATTCCTAGCACATTTGGCTGTCCAACTAACTTTTGTTGCAAACAATGTTTGAGTACATTTCAACTTTCAGTTTACATTCTCCTAAAAAGATTTGGGATTGTACTGGTGGTTATAAATTTAGGAATCCCTTTCAAAAGAGAAAATGTCAATGGTTAAGCTCCATTTGTCTTTCATTAACTAATTTATATATCTATGACTTTGCGTTCGATGTTCTTTTCCTGTTCTTTATTTCCCTTCTAAAATTAACTGCTGAAAATATAATGTTGAAACATAACATACCCAAGAATGGTGCATTTTCCCTTGTGGTTATGATCAACAATGAAGAGGAAGATGAAGATGACATTAAGATCAATAATTGAATGAAAGAAAGAACTTTGGATTCAAAAAACAACTGGTGTTTTATGTAGATGAGAGCAATAGTCTAATAAAGCAAGAAGAATTGTGAATTCATCAAATTGTTTCATGTTTGTTACATTGTGCTGCAGAGCATGGTTTCTGACCCTGTGCATCAGAATTCCCCTTAAAATTCATCAATTGTTTTTTGTTTTCTTTTCTAGAGAACGATGATATGCATGAAGTGGGGAGTCTATCATCAACATCGAACCCTTGTGTCTTACATAATATCTTTCTTTTAGAATAAGGATGGAGGAATTCATAAATGCCACTCTTCATCCCTTATTTGTTTCCTTAAAAAAATCAAATACACTAAATGGAGTTAGATACTAGTCTTAGTAGAATACCGTAATCATTCTTGTATTTCTTTTTATTGTGGATTAACTCTCACATGCATGAGCCTAAAATAGTTACTCATGTCTCAGTGAATTGAAGCATTTAAAGTAATACATGTGTTTTTCTATTATATATATATATATATATATATATATATATATTTATGATTATTTGCTTATATTGGGATGTTTTGCAGCTTTCATCTCACTTTTTCTTGGATCTCCTTGATTCCATCATAGTTGATGTGGCATCAGAGTGTCACAGAGTAGCAAGGCTTGGACTTGATTCTAATTTGGAAGAAGAAGATGAAGAATTGAAGCTGTCAGCACAAGCCAGAGTTAGGGTGGCTGATCCTAGTAATAGTAATGACGCAAATGGCAAGTATGTGGTTGACATATTCGGACAAACCCATCCTCCTGTTGCAAATGAAATATTTCAGTGCATGAATTGTGGTCGATCTATCATGGCTGGGAGATTTGCTCCTCATTTGGAGAAGTGCATGGGGAAGGTTATTCTTTTATCTTCTACAATGAAATTATTTCCTCTAATGTTTTAGTTTTCCATTCATTTATTTCAGCTTTTTAGAGTAATCAGAAACTAAAAAGAACAGATTTTATCGGTTAATCCATGTACCCGAATTAAACCACTTTGAAATTTTGGCTTTTTAATCTCCAAACATGCATGCATTTGAGCCTTGTGGTTTTCTCACATGTCATTTTCCTACCATGGAAATGCTTGCATGCTTCATTCAGGGTAGGAAGGCTCGTCTGAAAGTAACAAGGAGCAGCACAGTTGCTCAGAACCGGTATTCACGAAGCAGTCCTCTTTCTGCACACTCACCATCTTCAAATTATTCTACAAACAGCATGAATCGGTTGCCAAATGGAACCTCCAATTTTGCAGGTGAGGAGCACTCAAATGGAACATTGGAGTCATGATGAACTAGTTCATGTCTGATGGCTACCAGCATTCAGAATTTATGTCACACCTTCAACCTGTTTCTCTGGGAGACGATAGCTCAGTTGGATTTTGTGTTTCAAAATAATGTTTCAAACAAGTTTCCTTCATGCTCTGTACCTTCTTTACAAAATAGCTTTACTTTTCATTGTAATTTTGTTTTTAATTTTACCAACTGTTAGCTTAGATATATCTTATGCAACTATGTACTCATCATGGATAAGGTGTTGAGAAAATCTTGAGATGAATATCATGATAGAGTTTTTAGAATGTATCGTATAAAGAAATAGCAAAAATATAAAAATTCCGTTGCCGGGACTTGAACCCGGGTCTTTCGGGTGAGAGCCGAATATCCTGACCAACTAGACTACAACGGATTCTTGTGAAATATTAACAACTGCAGTATTTAAAACTAATAGAAATAAACTTTTATCACGTTCCCTTGTTATGGAGGCGTTTAAATAAAATAAGAAAGGTAAAAAACCTAAACAACTTTAGACTTTTAGGCAACAAAAAAAATTAAACACATTTTATAATTACAGAAACACCATTTACACTAATGGAAACACTAATAATTATCCCAACGCTATCATAATAAAGAGAAAACTATAAAAAAAATTTATATACCTGAAAAACTAATTCAAAATTATATCATTATATATATATATATANATGGTAATCATGCGGTAGAACCCACTTTACCAACAGAGTTGAGTCTTGAGGAGGAAGATCAAGAAGAACCTGAGACAGTGTTAGCAACCAGGGAGATTCCTGAGGGTGGTACTATTACTAAACAATGGTTGGTTAAATGGAAGGGGAGAACAGAGGAGGAGGCAACTTGGGAAGATGAGGGACTATTGCGAAGTCAATTTCCTTGTTTTAGCCTTGAGGACAAGGCTGTTGTTGCAGGAGGGAGTAATGATAGGACTCCTAATAAGGATGGGCCTGTTAATCAACATGAAACAATTATAGAGGGAGCAAGGCCCAAAATATGGAAGGTTTACGTGAGAAGAAAGAAAATGGGGTTAGGAAAAGAAAGGGAAGTTAGTTAGAGAGGGGAATGATGTGTCAGGAATCCAGGGAAGGGGTATTCTGTTATAGGAGAGAGAATAGAGAGTGTGAAGGGGATACGGAGTAGGGGGTGGTGAGTTGGTTAGGAGGAGAGTCATCCTCTGGTTAGGAGTGAGAGCACTCTGGGTTTTACTGGTGATTGTAGAGCTTTCAGCTCCATAACTTTTCTTTTGCATAATACTTGAATAATATACCTATGATATTCAATTTAATTGTTGGGTTTCAATCAGATGTCTTGACATATTTTGAAAGATCAAAATAAAATTAACTATTAACAATAGGTTCCAGTCACGCAGATGTAATATTGTTTCCTTTTGTTATTATTTTGGTTCTTTAGTTCTTGTCTTATTCATTTTATACTTCCTCAAAGTTTTTGTAGTCCTTTGACTTTCACCAGTAATTGGTGTAAATTAGGATCGAAAAGCCTTGTTCAAGACTCATGTCTGTTCCTAAGGAGGAAGACTTGCCGCCACATTCCCAGGTGTGCTCTTCAATTCTGATTAAATGTGCTTTATGGTTGCAGCAATAATTAAATAATAGATTTTGATTCAAATTCCTAGCACATTTGGCTGTCCAACTAACTTTTGTTGCAAACAATGTTTGAGTACATTTCAACTTTCAGTTTACATTCTCCTAAAAAGATTTGGGATTGTACTGGTGGTTATAAATTTAGGAATCCCTTTCAAAAGAGAAAATGTCAATGGTTAAGCTCCATTTGTCTTTCATTAACTAATTTATATATCTATGACTTTGCGTTCGATGTTCTTTTCCTGTTCTTTATTTCCCTTCTAAAATTAACTGCTGAAAATATAATGTTGAAACATAACATACCCAAGAATGGTGCATTTTCCCTTGTGGTTATGATCAACAATGAAGAGGAAGATGAAGATGACATTAAGATCAATAATTGAATGAAAGAAAGAACTTTGGATTCAAAAAACAACTGGTGTTTTATGTAGATGAGAGCAATAGTCTAATAAAGCAAGAAGAATTGTGAATTCATCAAATTGTTTCATGTTTGTTACATTGTGCTGCAGAGCATGGTTTCTGACCCTGTGCATCAGAATTCCCCTTAAAATTCATCAATTGTTTTTTGTTTTCTTTTCTAGAGAACGATGATATGCATGAAGTGGGGAGTCTATCATCAACATCGAACCCTTGTGTCTTACATAATATCTTTCTTTTAGAATAAGGATGGAGGAATTCATAAATGCCACTCTTCATCCCTTATTTGTTTCCTTAAAAAAATCAAATACACTAAATGGAGTTAGATACTAGTCTTAGTAGAATACCGTAATCATTCTTGTATTTCTTTTTATTGTGGATTAACTCTCACATGCATGAGCCTAAAATAGTTACTCATGTCTCAGTGAATTGAAGCATTTAAAGTAATACATGTGTTTTTCTATTATATATATATATATATATATATAGAGAGAGAGAGAGAGAGTTTGTCAAACAAGTGTTAGTACATAATTACCCTTCTACCACTCTTAATACTCTTAATAGGCTTTGATTTTAACAAAATATAATATAAAACGACACATTAACAGTTTTGTAAATTTTGAGAATATATAGTCAAAATCTATATCATCTTGAAGCCGTATACCCGTTTCGATTTCGATTAATAATAACGAGTCAAAGTATTAGTCACTTATCATTTTTACAAAATTGAAAAATCTTTGGTAAGACAGATTTTTTTTATAATAATTCACAAAATATACATGGTATTTTTTTTATTAGGTTTAGGGTACATTAACACAATAATAAATTAGTGAAAAAAATTAATGTATATTATATCAAAATATGATTGAAAAAAATCTATGTCAAAATAATTTATTTTAAAAATATATTATGGTTTGTGAAAGTTAAAAACTGTTACAATTAAAATAATCCTCAGAATTATATATGCCAAAAACCATTTGTAACAAAAGAATTTAAATGCTGATAAAATTGTTAAAAAAGAAAAACAAAATTACTAACAATTAAAAGCCGTCACAAAATTATTTTTATTTATATAAAATTTCATGTTTGATAATTAAAAACTGTCATAAAAATACAACTGTTTTAAACCAAAATAATTATTATACTAAGTTTATCCTTTAAGAAAGACATTAACTTTTAAAAACTTAACTCTTTTTTCGGCTTTACATTTTTTCTAAAATTCAACAATTTTTAAAACTAAAATAACTATTTATAATAAAAAAATTATCTAAAAAATAAAATAAAATTATAAAGGTTATTTAAGTTTCTTTTTTATTACTATAAAAAAATTATTATTTTTCATTACTATAAAAAAATAAACACACGTAATGCATGTTTTTTAATAATAATAATAATAATAATGACATTAATGAAAATAATAATAACAATAATTATGATATTAATTATGATATTAATTATGATATTAATAATAATAATAATAATAATGAAAATAATAATGATAATAATTATATTAATAATAATAATAACCATAAAATTTAATTTACATTCTTTAATTTACATTCCTTTTATAATAGACTCTTTCACATAATTACTACCAATAAATCCACATGCATTTTATTTCCTGAAGTAGACTCCTTCATTGTTGGTGATTTTTTTTTATTTGAAACAATATAATTTTTTATTCAAGAAAAATATAAAAGTGAATATAAAAATATAGATATATAGAAATTTTTTTTCAAATTTTTTAATTAAAAAATATAAATTTAAAAATATAACAAAATATCAAACTTCTTAATTGAAATTTTTAAAATAGAAGAAGTATTAAAAATTATTAAAAAGGTTTTATTTAGAAAACAGATAAACAAATATAACTTGGAACTTTCTATGCAAATTTTTTATTTATTTACTTTCTTAATTTTAAGAAGTTTGAAAATTATAAATTTTTTTTTTCTATTTGTTTAAATATTTTGAAATGTATATTTATTTATTGGAAACGACTAATTATAAGTTTAAAATGTTTATAGTGTTACCTAACTTTTTATTTTCTAAAGATTAGTTAGGATTATTTAACTAAATACATAAAATATTACTACAATAATTTTTATTTTTATTTAGTTTTAATTTAATTGAACAAGAAAAACATTTAAAAATTCAGTTTAGAATTTGATTCCCTGATAACAAAGCTTTTGTTGATTTTTTTTTTTAGTGTAGAATGATCACATTATCGAATTCTGACTTAGAAACAAAGCCATGTTGTCCTGTAGGTATTTCTCACAATGTGTTATATTACAAAAAAATGAATTAAATTATTCCATAAAAAAAATTTTAAAAACTGCATAAAAAAATTTATATATATATTAAAAAAACATCTTTACATTTAAATACCATAAAAATAACCAAATTTATTTCAAGTATATTTTTTCTAAATATTTAATCAATTTTAATAATTTTTTTATTTTATAAATTTCAATTAAAAAATGTGATATGGTGTTATATTTATAAATTTATATTCTTATATTTTTTTTTCTAAATATTTTTTTCTAAACAAAATTTCTATAGTTTTCTAATTTTAAATATATTTTTTATATATATTTTTTTAAAAGTTTAAATTTTTTCAAAATAAAAAGATTGCGTCGACAATAAAAAGTTTAATTGTGAAAAAAAAATGCATATAGATCTAATAATGGTAAACACATGGACCACTTTTGAATTTTATTCACGGAAGTAGATTATTAGAATTTATTTTAAAATTAAACACTTTTATTATTTAAATACAATTTCGTTTTGATAGAGATTGACTTCTCATAATATTTTGTTTTCTAATTTTGCGGATTTTTTGTTACTGAAATTCTGGCTATTTTGGAACTAATTTTTAAGAATATTTTTTCTATAGATTTATATGTTTATTTATAAGAAATAATTTTATTAAAATTTAAGTATTTTTTATAAATTGATAAATTGAAAAATATATTTAATTTAATATTTATAAATTAATTAAAAATAAAAAAATTGAAGATTGTTTATAATAAATAAGCTAATTTGAATATATTGTAGTTATGATAATAGAGAAATTATCATAATAAAATATTTTAATTATCATAGTCTTTTGTAAATTTAATTTTTATAAATATATATTTATTTTGTTAAGTAATTTATGTAATAATTTTTT